TTGGCGCGCTGATGGTGATGTCGACGCTTGGGCGTCTCCGGGTGCCGGGTGTGGGCTCCCGAGCCGTTGCGGTGAGGCGGCACCGGGGGCTTGTAGTCCTCGTTACCGTTCTCACCCGATTGCTTCGAGGCCTTGTGAGGTGGTAGCGGTGGTGCCGGTGGCGACGAAGACGACGACGACGACGACGACGAGGACGACGACGATGCCGACGAGGAGCAGGAGACATCGTTACTGCACAACCACAAAGCGCCCGTGTCACCTTCACTTTAATACTTCGCGTCAATAATATATTGGGCGCGGCGGGTGAGCTTACGATCTCTATCGTTGAATTTCGAATCCCAAAGCAGCCCATTGGCCCAGCCTCCGTTGTTAGGAAGAATCGATGTCGCGTAGCTTTTGACGAAATCGATCGCGATGGTCGTAGGATCTACGTGCCAAGTTAAGCCGCAACGACCACCCACCCATTCGATTACTTGAGACGAATACGAATTTTAACTTTTTAACTTTGCTAACTTTTTTTTACTTTTTCTTTCTCTCAGTGTTTTTTTTTTTTTTTTTTTTTTTTTTTTTTTTTTTTTTTTTACATAAGTTTTAACCCTGGCTTTGCCATTTGGTATGCCACCGGAGCATCAATAGAGGGTGGAACAGCAACTCGGAAGTTTCGCTGCCGCGCTACTTAAAGCAGCCAACTCGTTGACGCTTCGTTACTCAACGTCGTTTTAACGCTCGAGATTAGGGATGGGTGAAGTACTCCAATGCTCGCACGCAGCGCAGAGCCGGGTTGGGAGGGGAGAGAGTGCGAGTGGGGGGAGGAGGAGGAGGAGGAGGATCTCAGACGCTGGGACTATTATTATAAAATACTGACTCTTTTCGGTGTGCGGATGTGGGCGAGGGTCTGGAAGCGAAGCTGCGCGGCGTCTTGTCGCGCTTGCAATAGGTGGTTGTGTCGATGGGAACCGCCGCCGACGAAGTCGTGCTCGAGTGCAATCCCAGTGACGGCAGCTCCACGTGGTTTGGATTGTCGAAGCTCGTCGCAAGATCCATTGTCTCGTCCTCCGGCTCGGCCAACAGTGGATTACTCGTGACACGAACCTGCTCGAGGGAGGAAGGATGCTAACGTTAATCGTTGGACTTTAGATACATTCGGTCATGTTTGTTTGTTTGTTTGTTTGTTTTTTTTTAAACGATACGACGAGTATTAATGCAATTTCAAGATTCTCTGTTGTTCTTTCTCCTTCAATGAAAGTAGCCGTAAGAGAGTTGATACGTTGAATGGTATATTACAGTGAAGGTAATGGGCGTGCATTTTTAAGTATCCAACATGAATTCAAAATGAAATATCAGATGAATGCTTCGATCGATCGACGAATTTCCGAATAACGGAAGGATAATTCTGCGGCACCAGCCTAATATGTTAAATTTATAATTTTTCGTAGTTTTAAAAAATCAAGTAGCTCCAAGAAGTGGCGCAAGCTCGCGAATTTCGCATTAAAACGCAAAGTTATGTAAAGTTTTGAAAAATATATTTTTATACACAAGAGATTTCCACCTACTGGAATACGATTATGAATTACATTAGATATTTCTTACGTCTTAAATTAGACATATAAAATTATCTTATTAAACATATAATTCGTAAACTATTTTCCCTCGTATTCCTTGCTTCTATTTATTTTGCGTATTCCCCGAAATTACACCCTATTCTACTCGCTCTTATTAAAAAGTTTGAAAATTCCATTAACGCTTTATTTTGAATTCTCAAGTTTTACAATTACCGATACCACCTGTGAAATTTGCAATGCTAAATTACTTTTCTAAATTATATCATACGCATGATACCTCAGCTGAAAATGACAAAAACTTCGTTTTCCATCAATTTGTTTTATATAATTGAAATTGCTAATGTGCAATATTTCATGATTAAGGGAATTTCTGGGATATTGGATTACGATAGGAAAGGCAACGTCAAATCAAAGAGGTTTAATTATCAAAAACTTCCCCAAAGTGCTTTACTATTATTAATAGTTATGATATGAATAAAAGTACGTAGCCTATTATCTATGTGCTACATAAAGTTCTTTGAATTACCTGTGATATGCATATAAGCGTATTTGAAATTTTGCAATCACACTAACTGGCTGCGATTATTTGATAATTTGTATTAGACGCTCGTAGACAAACACTTTTGCAATAACATTTTACAGTAAATGTATGAAATATCTCTTTATTGTTTATTTTTAAACAATAAAGACGAAAACATTGTATACATATATCGTACAGTATTATTTAATGATGATTATCTTAAGAATAATAAGCATAATATGGACAAATAATTTCAGTTGATAATAATACAAAATATATTGATCTTTTATCTCGTAAAAATATACGCGTTGTTACGTTAAAGAAAATATCGCTAACTTATGTTTGAGATTTTCTTTAAACTTATCCATATTACTTTTTGAAATCGAATGTAAATATTTACATTATATTGAATTGTACAAAAATTAAATTAAAAAAAAAAAAAAAAAAAAAAAAAGAAAAAAAAAATTCAATAATTAATGACTTGCAATTGAGATAATAAAGTCGATGAAATACTGTTTAATTTGTTCACATTAATTCAATATCTATTCGATTACTTCATTATTCTTGTATGAAATTCTAAGTTACTAATTAATTATTATTTAACAAATACAATAATTTCTAGAATACATTTAATATAAATAAAATGCGCGAATAAGATAAAGCATAACATTAAAATGAAATATTACATTTTAGGGAGTTTTAAATAGCATTTCACACACATACAAGTATTTAGTTTAAATGCGTGAAATTGTTAACTGGTAGTTACATTTGAATAATGGATTATTCGGGATGGATTATATAACTAAAACTTATGTTTGAAATGAATAAAAACAGTGATAAATCAATTATTAATATTAAAATTGAAAGCAAAATGTAGAATATTGATCGAGAAATTTATATATTTTTTAATATTGTTCTGTGAGTATCAATCCAAACAGAAAGTATTTTAGAAGTCTAAAATTTAATTAGCGAAAGTTCTTATTTAATATTAAATGCAATTTTAAGTTATTTTTAAGATATCCCTAAAAGTTTAACGGAAAGTATATTTCAATAAATATATAGTGAGCGATATGAAAAATGTCGAATTTGAAATTTATATGAAGGTTGAAACCTTGGAATTATTTATGAAATAGAAAAAGAAGAAGAAGAAGAAGAAGAAGAAGAAGAAGAAGAAGAAGGAAGAAGAAGAAGAAGGAGTAAATATTACTAAAAGATTTTAAATATAAGTAACAGAAATCGGTATTTGATGATGAGGAAAAATGATGATTCAATGGAAGACTTGGCGCACGTGCATTTTTTCTCCAACACAGCAACTTGGTAATAAAGCATAAAAACTATGTAGGTATTTATTTATCTCTACAAAGGTTAGAAAAATATCATAATTTGTTGTATAAAGCTTTTACCGTACAGAAGCAAAGTACCAATAAGAAAATTATGATTTAAGGAAAGCGTCGGGCCGAATAGTTGTGGTCAAATAATATTCCGATTTTAAATTGCAGCTTCAACAGAAAATACAGCTTCATTATTTTCATCTTTGACCGTAGATCGTAATGAAGCGCGTATAAAGTATTAAATTTAAGGGATACGTGTAGGAATTATGTTAAAAGGAAATACCAATAAGCCGATACGTATAATAGAGTTTATTTGGAAAAAAAGCTGTACAAGAGCGCACGTATGTGTGCATCCGATGGCGTATATCGATTGCCGATAAAGAAACTTATCTCATTAGCCATTAACAGCGTCAATTAAATCTGAGAATGTGGGTTCGGCTAGGAAGTGCTCGCGCGGGGCAGATTCTACTCACGAAATGCCGATTCTAGATACAAATAAGGCATTCTCCCAGATTATCGATAAAACAAAGTCCCGAGGCTCACTCGTGTGCGGCGAGAGAGCTCTTATCATCCTCGCATCAGATTAGTAAAGCACGTACCTGCTGGGGTGCGCAGGCAGCGCGTTCCAAGGTCGCCCTGCCAAGCCAGACCCAGTCGTGGGCGTTGGTCGTGGATTCCCTCGGCCTGCTTCGGTTCTGGCCGAATTGGCTGGCGGCGGCCCTTGCGGCCCCTATTACCGGTAGCACCGGTAGGGCCGACTCCGTCGAGCTCTGGGGCTTGAACTTGCTCGCGTAGACGACGCACGAGACTACGAATACGACGATGGCGAAACAGAAGGCTGCGAGCAGCACGTACATGCCGATCTCGAGGGGCGTCATACGCGGGCCCCCGTTGTGACGTATACCCACGCCTCCCATGCCTCCTGAAAGTTTCGAAGCTTTCAACCCGGTTTTTTCTGATTATTGCCGTGACTTGGTTGTTATTGCACATGTGATATTACTGCGCACGTAAGCACAATCATGTATATGCGCACTTGTGCAAGCACACTTACAAACACGAACACACACGCGCGCACACCCACGCGTACAAAGTTACAGACACGTACTAGCATACAAACTTGCGCGGGCACACGCACGCGCGCACGCACCCACACGCATATATGGCGTTCAACGATTTGCGAAGTACGCACGCACGCACGCACGCACGCACGCACGCACGCACGCACGCACGCACACAACGATGAGGAATTTGTTAGCCGTCGCTTAACAATGAGCTTCTTTAGCCGCTCTCTGGCATTACTTTTCTCTCAATTTATTTAAAGCATTTTTCGAGCGAATGAGAAAATATTGCTGCACCAAAAATAGGAGAAATTTGCCAGCTTATAAACACTCTTCTCGGTATTGATACGAGGAAACATTTGGTAATTACACTTAAAACTCGCATACTCGCATTATAATAAAAAGAGCCCGAGATAAGCTTTGCCCGAACAACACTACGAAAGGTCAAGTATTTGCCAATTTAAATTTGCCCAGACACGATCGAGAAAATTTAACGATATTTCAAAATAAGAGTATCGGATTATCTCTCGAAACTATAAAAACTATATATGATTACAGAGCATCTGCGAAATTCGCAATGTTAATTAATGAATGTACGAAACAATAAGGAGAGTGTTGTTTAATTTAGTACAATTTAGATATTTCAGATAATACAATAAAGCTTGTTTCTTTATATTATTTGAATATGCACGTATGGATACGCATACGATTAAATATATACTAGAAAGAAAATTCTAATCGGATTATTCGTAATTAAATTTGGTTTGAATTCAATGTGCTCGGAATGTTTTAGTTGACTGGTGAGCCAGAGAAGTTGAACGCTAATTACTCAAGACTAATTTTTACTTTATATTTTCATTTACAGTAAACAATGAACGCGCACGTGTTGTTTTAAAAAATAAACGTAAACATGTTAGCCCAATTAAAATCATAATTGTGAAAGTTTAGGAAATGTTAATGCCAATACATATACGACGAATAATTTACAATTACCAAATACTTTTAATATACGCATTACACGTGGAAAAGATCGCAGTACCAAAAGTACAGTGATTTATATTAAACCTGTTTTTTTTTTCGTCGTTTTAATGGCGATATTAATTCAGTGCCCGGGATCCAGATGTCTTTATTAAACCATAAATGTAATAATCTCTCGTTTGAATTGTTGCCGAACAAAATTTGACCGCCATTTGTAAATAGCGTTTGTTTTTACGCTCGATAAATAAAATTTACGCGTATATCCGCGAATATAATCCCAAGTTTATCCATGCATATCGATAACGGACACCGACGAGGATTCTAATTACACAACCAAACGTTGCATTTACCGAAAAGGCACACCAATTTAACGACCGCTCAGGTTTCGATCGACACGTAAACAAAGATAATTCATCGTCGCGTCGTCGCTCGGCTGGCAAAACTACCATAGCCCGAGTATCCCACCGCATCCGGTTAAAAGAACTACGAGTTACATACTCGCGCACTCACCCACGCACACGCTCACACGTACACAAAAGCGCTAAACACGTAACGATGCAGACAGAGGCGTTTATAGCAAGGGATAAACTTTTACCAATGAGGATGTCGTGAAGATCCGGGGCGATGTCCCTCCCGGTCTTGCGCTCTCGATGATGGGCGCCGAGGCCGAGGTTGCCGCCCCCGTCGTTCTGCACGAATTCTGGTCGGCTTGGCTGGTCGCCCGAGGTGAAGTCGACCTCGACGTTGGCCGAGGCCGTCGCAAGGGGCAATACGACCGCGGACCTCGAGGTCGCGGCTTTCGCCCGACGATTCGCCAGGCGGCAGACGTCAGACAGCTGGAGGCTGACCCGTAGAAGATCACCGCGACCCTCGCCGACCGCGATCACCCGCGGATGGTGAGAGGCCACCATCGGGGCGAACGCCACCACATCCGGGTCCAGGCTCTCTACCATCAACTGGTAGTCACTTACCTGCGTGATAGGAGTAGAAAATTATTATTCGACCGATTGTACGAGATGTCGGGGGAGATGCTCGACTACACGGAGCTTCCCGCTGCACCTCGAGCTCCAACTTTTTCAAACGCGCAATTTATATACCGCCCGAGCTTATGCTACGGGCGACATTTTTCAAGCCAATTTCGCATAGCGTACGATCTTAGGGCCGCCTCGGGAAAAAGTCGAATTAAAGTCGCATCGGAGCCGGAGCCACCTGTAAGGGATTTATGGAAGCGAGTGAAGTTTAAGTTATCGTTCATCGGCTTGCGACTAGCGACGATCGAAAGTATAAATTATAAACACTCGAAAGTTGAACGATAAAAGTGCCAGTTTAGAGGAATAAGCTTGCAGCAGAAATTGAGATTACGGGGGGCTTCGTTCATAATGCCTTCATAAATATTCTTCATTTGGCGAAGAAGAAGAAGAGAAGAAAAAAGCGATATACTAATGCCTAACGCTCGAAATGATCTACCGCCAATAATATAAAAAATACTTTCGCCACATAAATAGAAGAAACATTTATCTGTTTTTTACATTTAAGTTTTCATTGTTAACATTTATATTTTCCTATATTATTCGTTACATTTAATATTTATATTTGTGCATTAAGTCGGAAAGTAAGGATTTTACGGAATATGAGAAACAATGATATTTTTTTTAGTATTTTTTCAAAGATAATTCATGTAAATGTAATCAATTTTTAAAAGTATGATATAAAAAAGTAAATCAAGTTTCTCATAAAATATATCTGACCTGCTTTAGTAATGTACTTATGTTTCTCTTATTTTATTAAATTATAATTAGAATGTGGAAGAATTGTAGCAAGAAGCAAATAAAGAAGATTATAATCGATATAAAATGTGCATATTCGCGTGATTATTTCTCAAAGAATATCTACCACCTGTATATGATTTAATAATAATTTATGTGAAAGTTATACAAATTCCTGTCAATCGGGGTATTACCGACATAAAGACAAATCAACTTTCTATATAAAATCGATACATGAAGAAATAAATTATTCACTTGCCAACCTTCCAAAAGCCTTAAGAATGTCAGGCAGTTAATGTGAAATTACAATCAATGCATAATACGTGTAATTCAACATCACCGCTACGTAATTGATGGTAAAGTACTCTCAATACGGCTCCCTTTATAAATCTTTATACATTGCGAATAAAATGCGATTATGCTTTCACTGTCAAAATCAATGTTATATAAATCTGATAATATAGTGGCTAGATTAAACAATATATAATAATTTAAAGACCGCTTGGCTTGAGTCGGGATAAGGATCGTAATTGCCGTGCACTTGAACCTTCGTTAAGTCAGGCTCGCGATAATCAAGATACGCCGTAATTGACTTATTACGTAAGCCGTATTATAGCGTTATAACATCGAGTGCCCAAGTGGGCCTCTTTATTGAAAAGCTGGAAAATCTTACCGCAATCTCACGGAGCGGTGTCCTCGTGCCATCGGAGAACTCGATGTCAATGTCGAGGAGGCCCTCCTGGTATTGGGCTGTGAGCTTCCTCGTGACCGACGTCTCGGCCACGTAGCCATTCTCGATTGCGCTATCCGGACTGATGTTGAGCTGCAGTCCCGAGACGACCTTCACAGAGAGCTGGGAGATGGAGACGCGGTCGTTGCCGACCCGCACCTCCTTCGCCCCGATCACCCGACCATTGATGGGTGAAAGCACCTGGACCTCGGTTCTGCCGATGCCGCGTCCTTGCACGATCCTGCCCTGGACGAGCGTAGCGATGCGCGGATCCGACACGCGCAAAAGACCAGCCACGAGGTCCGTTACTCGTAGCCACGTGCGCCTGTTCACAAAGTACGAGACGCGTCCGGAGTCGTGATCCACGGCGAGGAAGCGCACGTGCACCTGTAATTTAACCAAAACGCTCCGTGTCTTATTTCCTCGATCTCTCAGCCCGTTAAATTTATAATGTACTGCTTTTTAAATCGACCGTTCGCAATTATAAATAAGGAACGCATGTGTATATATATATACGTATATATGTATATAGGTTGTACGTTGCTGTACTTGATAAGATTTGTTCAATAATCCCGACGACGAGCAATTATTCATTCTCTTATACTTTTAATACTTACGTCCGATAATTAAAATGCTTTTAATAATAATTTTCAATGCTATTTCTTTTCGAAGTCATTTTATTTGCCCCTAATTTTTATTCCTACTTATTTGACAATACAAAAGTTCTAATCATTAAGAAGAAGAAAAAGCAATCAAAACAAAATATAACAAATCAAATACGTAACACGTTGAAATTATAATATATGTGCGCGTGGGCGTTAGTGCGTGCGTGTGCGTACGCGTGCGTACGTATTCATAACTATTATGTAGTGCAAAAGATTTTCAATGTTATTCTATAAAACTCGCTGCCAAAGTTATTAAAATATAATTATATTTTCTAAAGATTATCAATCATAGGAGTTATATTCAAAATTATTTTAAATATAAACAGTATAATTCTCATTACGTCCAGCCTGTTAATTTATTTATATTATTTGTAATATGTCTTTAATTACTAATTAATTATTCGCAGGTATAGCAGTAAATAGGTACTACTTTATCGCATCGCAGCACATTATTTATATCGAAATTCTAAATTTAATCGGATGATTTGGAAGAAAATTCTTATTTGTTTGAATGCTCATATGAATATTAAATATTTAAACAAGGGATTAATGAACCAACATTAAATACAAACTAATAGGCAAATCTTATTTCGCCAATGTATTTTCAGCAATTATTAAAAATATAATTGACACCTGCAATGTAATAAATATTATAATGTTAAAGCATTGTTATTAAAATTATGTAGACGTATTTTCATGTAGCAAGTATGCAGAAATAATTTCATTTAAATTGAAATAATGATAGGGTGGCGTATGGCATATAAATGTTTGAACTGCACGACCAAATTTATATATAATAAATAAAATTAAACTCCCAACATACGCGGCTGTAACACGAGAGTGTTTGCGTTGTTATTTCAATTGCTGGTCGTTAATTAAAATTAATATCCAAATTGAATCAAAATATTATAAAAGCCAAAATTAAGTGCACAATTCTACTGCGATATTGATTTAACGAATCTAAAAAATATAAGGTAACAAATTTCTTTTAAATAGCCGTAAAAGTCAATGTTACCCAGTCGTAAACAAACATAATTTTACAAATTATGCCACTAACTAAGCCAATTAAAGATGCTGCTATTTACTAGGAGGTAATTAAAGTTATAGTCATTTCAAGATGGCACGAATGCCACGAGGATCTTTAATATTTGAGAATATTTCATCCATATTCGACATTAATGCACGTAACCATATTAAATATTGTGAAATTCATATAATTATCGTGATATGAAAATTATTAAAACAGTTAAATGATTTCATCCAACATATTTATCTTCCATGCGTATAATATTTGTTTCGCAGCAAGTACGAGTGTGAAAAATTGCCGAAGCTACGACATTATTATCACTTGGTGACGGATCGACGTAAGAATCTTATTCTCTTTGATTAATTGCAATTTTCAACACTTATTCAAGCATTTTACGCAAGAATTCTCAATACAAAATATCACTGGACTGAGGTATTTTTTTTCTTACTGTAAATTCAAATTAATTATTAAATTTTGTATCGATTATCAAAACTTTTATTCCTACTCAATGCGACGAAATTTATTTCGATTAAAAAGTCAGTGTCTTTGTTCGAAATAAATGAAAGAAAGAGATAAAACTAAACTAAATAGAAATAAAAAAAATATATATATATATATATAAAAAAAAAAGCATATAAAAAAAAGCAAAAAATCCGACAATTATACATAGTTTTCAATATTGAGAATCGAGCAGACCAGACGTCACATCTATAATAATACTTTGAAATAATTAAGAATTTGTAATTATCTCGGGTATATCAGAAAGGTCAGACTTCTTGTAATTGGTGACAATTAAGGAAAAACATGGAGAATTTTATGAATGAATGATTAAAACACCGCGAGTATTCCAATAAATTTTAATCCAATACATCCACTGTTGAAAACTTTTGCAAAATTCGTGTGCTTTACGAGTTCGCCCACCGGGTGGTACGGGTACACTGTAACGCCCGCCCAGTTCTGGTATTTATTGAACTCGGTCAGGCGCAGAAGGCGCTAGTTAGCAGCAGAATCGGCTGAAGAGAAAGAAACGAAAGCTTTTCTTACGTCGACGGGGCTCTGCTGAAATCTAAGCCGACAACTGGCGGTCGTGGCGGTGCGATCGATCGAGTTGATTTCGTCCCATTTATCACCGCTACGGAACCTCATCTTGCCCACTCCGAGTCCCCCTGGGTCCTCCTCCTCCTCCTCCTCCTCATCCTCCTCCTCTTCCTCCTCATCCTCGTCCTCATCATTATTATCATTATTATTATTCCCCTCGCCAACATTCGTCACCCGATTCACTGTCCTCGGCCCCTCCTCATCGTCGCCGTCCACCTCATCCTCCTCCCCCTCCTCGTTATCACCCTCCTCGTCGTCCCCATCATCATCCTCATCCTCATCCTCCTCATCATCGTCATCTTCATCATCCTCGTTATGATCCAGCTCCTCGCCGTTCACCAGCCGTCGCTTTCCCTTCCGCGCGAGGCCGGCGTTTTTGGCGCGGTGCTCGAGCGCTGCACCCCTCTTTCTCGGGGCCGTCCTCTTGCCCTCCGCGCTCGCGTTCAGGCTCCGCTTGTTCTTAGCTATCGGATGCTCTTCGGGTACCTTCCAACCCTTTATCTGATTCAGCCTCGTGTCCGTTACCGAGACCTCGAGCGGGAACTCCGGCATCCAGACGGTGAAGCGCGCCAAGCCCGTGTAAGTACCGTACTTGAAGAGAACCGAGGCGTTGCTCGAGCCACGGATCTCCGAGCCGTCGACGTACACGCTGCTGCACGACGAGGATACCTAGAGTCAAAAGGTTTAGGTATGGTTTGCTGGCCATTTGAATTTAATTGGGATGGAGAGTGGGGGTTATACGCGTCGCAGTCCTTCGTATTGGACTGCTTTGGGAGCTTGAAATCTTGCGTTGAGAGCTAGAAATGTGCGCAGTTGTAAAGGATTTGTGGCAAAGTTAACATAAGTAAACATCGTTTACGTCTAAAATTGTAAAATCTCGCCAACTACTCGGCTTGCTGCGCGGTTGAAATAGTAATAATAAGAAAAAATGGAAAAGCGACTTTTAATAAATATAAGTACAAAGTGCCATTGCGCATTTGGTTATTCGAGCGTTAAACATTATTCGTATCGAAGAGAGACGACGTAAACAATGGACCATCCATGCAAATATAATTAATTGCAGGTACTTAGCGCCGGCAAAGGTTAATTTATATACGAACGAAGAGGCACTGCACGTCAGTCGTTAAAATAGCAAGACTCGCGGATCTACCGAGACGATATCGAATTTTGAAGAAAAATCTTCGATAATCGTTATTATTACCTTCAGTACACTTTCATCCTCGGAATGGCAAGACGATTGAAGAGTGACATCAGCGACTCTTCCAGCTTGGCTCACGATAAACACTTTTATCGCTTGAGAAATTTGCCTCCCAGTCAGCACTGCCGTATTCATCACCTCCCAATTCTAAAAATTACATTTACTATTAACGCTATTCATTACAATTTCAAAGCTCCTCCGGTCTACCACCGACAATAATCAATACAAATAACCGTCAGCTCGATAAAATTGGAAAACAAAAGTATTCCTTATTACTTATTCAAATCAGCGCGTACAACGATATTCGATAAACCTACATTTCCAATAATCGCAGCACAATTACACAACATATTCGCCAATACTTACCGCGATCGAGATGAAACTTTTAAATAGCCCCGGCAGTATGCATCCCGACGTGCAATGCATTTAAAAATCATACTATTTTTCTAATTGGTGTTCCTTGAGTCTTTTAAAGAACGTCGTCGATTGTCTCAATATTCATAAACCGACTGCTGGGGGAATGGGCTCCCACGACAATAGACATCGAGCGACAAAATTTGTTTACACGTAATCGCAGTCGTTCGCATGGCGTACCTTGGAAATGGGCAGGACCGCTTGGATGTCGTCCTTCTGTATCTCGAGATGGGCTTGGAGCTTCTTGCGATCGCCGGCCCCGTTATGGTGATGGTGGTGCTGCTGCTGCTGATTCGACTGGAAGGGCCCGGCCAGGGAGACGTTGTCCTCCTCGCCCTCGAGGGCGTAGCGCACGCTCCAGACAATACGGTCGCCCCCGTGCTCCTTGCTCTCGGTGTTCTCCTCGCTCGCCTCCAGCAACATCGTCATTATCTCCTCGGCCGAGCTGCGACCGAGAAACATCGCGCGTCACAGCGTTACAACTTCGTTTAACGACATTATTGCATTGCTCGCGGAGATGCAACACAGCTCCAAGCAGACGTCCATTAATGCCGGGGCTTGTCCGACAAGCACCCCTTGACACTCGCGTTTAATTGGCTCTTCGGATGCGCGGGCGCGCGTGTGTGCGCGTGCGTGCGTACGTGCGTGCGCGCGTGTATAGGATGGCGAAGTGGGAGGGCTTATCGGTTGAAAGAGAAGCGTCGCGAGGAGTTTAGTGCGATGTTTGTAGGGCGTTTATGCGATTGTTACGAGGATAAAGAAGGTCGAGCTTCTCATAATGGAACGAGCCAGTTGTACGCAAATGATAAATATGCGATTTGATCGAGGGGCCACAATGGCCACTGCTTAGCAACAATTTTAAAATACTTTCGACGTAAGATCGTGAGTTAAATGGGAAGAGAACGAGCGTGTCCCTCTCGATCGAATTGTCTTGTCTACTTACGCATTTGGCAGTCGAGATACATTTTCCTTTCGCCTTGCGGTGAAAGTAGCAGCCGTATTTTTTATATTTATATCAGACTCGATGATCCAATCAGGGCTACTCGACGATGCATCCAAAATTTTAACTCCCGCCTTCACTCTCGCTCTGCAATAAAATCATATTAAATATGAATTTCTCCGCTTTATAAAGGATGCAGAGTTTTTAGTGATTATTGCGACGGGATTAGCACCTTTTATCGTCCATTATACTCTTTGTATGCTTCCGCATTTATTTCTTTATATATATATATATATATATATATATATATATATATGCACTAACGCGCTCACTATTACAAAGATATTGCTTAATTAAAAATTCAAACAATTTTTATCTTCTTGCTTTATTTTTATTCTTTCCGATAAGCGCGATTTTTTTCCATTATAAAATTGTCTCCGATATATGGACGCAAAAGAAATCCAATAAATTTTACCTTTTTTTTAATACAATAAATTTACAGGCGTTTCTAAAAAGCATATTTGAACAAGCACTTTTAATGCTTATTCCACAAATATCTCTTTATATGGATTTATTAAATATTTACTTCTCAAACAGTTCTTACATTCATATTTATGCATTAATTTATTTAAATAATAAGGAATGAAAGTAAATATTCTGATTTTTATACATCATAATATATGTGTATAAAGTACCTTTGAATTAAACGTAAGTCTTAATAAAGTTGTCGTTACTACTTAAATTGATAAGAAAAGTATGTAATGTAGTTTGCATTGTAATATAAAAATTTACATACACCAATAAATATTTATTTAGGTAAATACATCGTAGTAGAATTAGGGTTGTGCGTTGGAAAAAATTTATAGTCGAACTCGAGTTCATTTGTGCGAGCAGTTCGAGCAACGAGTTCGAGGGTGAAAAAAAAAAATTTGTAAGTCAAATTTTACTATGATGTATAAATTGAGTAGAAATCCTCGTTTTAGGTACAACAATGCCATGTCATTTTCTATAACCTCTATGTATATTATGAATTTCATAATGTAGTCATGTTTATTTGTAACTGTAAAATTTTTTATTTATATATTCAAAATTTTAATTTGTCAACATTTTCAAGTTTTTACTGTATGATATGTTCTCTAGTAAAAAATATTGCGACATTTATTTTTATTTAAATTTGCAAGAAAAATTAGATAAGCGGCTTATCTAATTTGTATGATTTCATAAATTGTATTTTACTTTATCTATAGTTAAACATATTAATAATTGTTATAAATTTACTAACGAAGGAGAATTGTTGGAAGTCAAAGATACAAAAGATAAATTAAGCATGAATATTATGTAAATCGTGTTTTATTGAAAAATTTTGAAAACTTGGTAGATGCGACGTAAGCTTGAGCCAACATAAATTTACCCAAGTATTTATTTTGTAGGACAAAGCCCATAGTTTATTTCATGTCTACTATTTATTATTTTACATATAATAAAATACCTAAACTTGTTTATGATTAAAACATGTTAATTTTGACATATTTCTTAAACTCCCTATAAATATATATGTAATGTTTGATATATATATATATACTGATTACAAAAAGAAAGAAGAAGGATTGATAAGTATGTATTATTACAATTGTCTATTATTCGTAAAACGGATAAAAATTTTCCATTTAAGTCTCTTAAAAAAGCAAGCATTTTCGATAGAAAAAAAAAAAAAAATAAAAAAATTAATAATACAAATAAATTGAATTAAGCTCGTGTATTATTTAGGCACTCATAATTCTCTATTACTATATAATTACTATGTATATACGCATTATGTGTGCGCGTGTGTGCGCGCGCGTGCGCTTGAGCGTATGTATAAATTAAAATTGAATGATACGCATTCAATTATCAGTCTTGTTAAATTATCATTAATTTTCAGTTAATGGAACAAAAATTATGTATCCATTATAAATGACGTGTCTTACTCAATGAAACTTATACTCTTATCCACATGGCTGCATAGATATAGAAAATTATTAAAAAATTTCTATAAATGTAACTACAATTTATCACATGAATAAATAATTCTCAATCAACCGTAGAATACTGCATTATCGCCGAAACTCTAAACAATATCGTATGTGTTTCCAGTATACTTTCGAAAAAGATGAAAAACCTAATGTCGATTATAGGTATTTTGCCTTTTTATTTTTAAAACTAATGCGATACATCATTAGATGAGTATGAATGCAGTTTGGCTTTCAATGTATTGTTAAAGAAGAACGCGACCTTTGCATTCATCTTTAAAGCATAAGTGCGGCGTTCGTAATGAGAAAAATCCAATATCTTTTACATAGATAAGTAAAAAATAAATGAAGAATGGAAGAAAGAAAGGAAGTAGAAAAAGGAAAGAAAGGAAAATTGGGTGGAGAGAAGGGAGAGAGACTAAGGTGATGTATTCTCGGGTTGTAACGTACCTGAGCAAAACAGCGGCGACGGGTGGCCTACCCTGGCTCGTCTGCTTCGACGAGTGCGACTGGAGGAAGACGGGTATGTGTAGCCTGGAGCGGGGATAGAGCGGTCCATGAGGTACCAGGAGGGTCAGATACTCGTCGGTCTTGAGTTCCTTGTAGGTCGCGCGGTTGGGCGCGAGAGTCGCCTGCCCAAGGGGCGTCACCGGTTGTATCTGGACCTTCGGCTGGCAGAACGAACCCACCCCGGAATCGAGAACGTGACCCGCAGCCTCCTCGGGATCACGCGGCTCCAGCACCGAATACGACAGCTGCACCGTCCTCGGGAGCGTCTGAAAGTCAAGCGAACGGTGACGCGTGACACGCAGGACAACGAAGCGTACCTAACATCTGTCACGCTGACGTTGTCGATGTCGTTGTTTATTGAATATTGTCCAACACGACTTGTTTTCCGCTTACTTCGGACTCCTAGTTTCGTTCGAGCAGCTGCAGTTGGCGCTGTCGTACGTTGAGGCGAAAGGACATACACTTAATCCTAGGAGAGCTCGATTTTCCTGAGACACGAAGCTCCGCCTGTCTCCTCTTAGTTAGAATTATACCAATGATAGTCGTCTTTATTAGTGGAACCCGAAAACTGCTTCGGCAATTGGGTTTTTAATATTTGCCATTTACATTGTCGTAGCTGTTTTACATGTTACGAAAGATAAAATTATTGGCGAATGGGTGAAAAGCCAAACGCATATAGTATTGCGTAGAGTGAGCTGGACAAGTCAATTCCGTGGGACACAATAGTCTATTGTTTTTCTGTGGCTTACGACGAAAGTTAGTGATTGCGTGAAAAGCTAAGACATTTTTGGACTGAGATTTTCGTAAAAATGTCGTTTGAATTATTGTTCTAAAGTTGTAATCTCGGAATGTTATATAATCGATACAAAAGCATAATTATTTTGGTTAGAATAAATGTTTAAGTGTTCCTTAATACGTATTCGATGCCTTAAAGAATAATATGTGCTCGTGCTGAGTATTAGAGTCTCATTGATTCTTTTCGAAACAGAAATCTTAAACTTTATAATAATCGCATATCATAAATACTTTTTTTTAAGTAACGAAAGTTTACAAGGTATAATTTCTCCCGGAGATGTGTCATGTGCAATGACGTTGAATGGCGCAAATAAAGTATTACTAGTGATTATTCATTTTCTCTTTGAAGTTTATATAATACACATTAAAAAAATATATCGGCTTCTACTGATCTCATTTTTGAAATCTTACATTGACATTAATTCCTTCTTCGCAGTATATTGGATATTTATATTTAAGACAGACCAAGTTAAAAAAAAAAAAGAAAAGAAAAGTATATCCCCTTCAAATAAATGGATGGAAATTGTTTTGTAAGGAATGTAATTGTAGTGCAACGCATATAAAAATCAATTAAATTATTAATAAATTTATTATTTGCTTCAAATGTAGGATTTTTACGCATTTTATCACTTTTATTTCTACAAAAAATAGCATCCAATATTTGGAGTCATTATTTTTCATCTCGTGTATAAATATTAAAATTATCAACAAAACCTATTCATTAAAGCAATTGACATTTGTTCTCATGGCTATTGTTCTTTTGTTTCAAGAAACTTTCACTTATATATGGCATATAAAAAAATCCTACTTACTTTACTATAACTAGAATAAAAAAAAGATTAATTCATTTTATGTTACTAAATTTATTTTTACACTCAAATAAAAATTTTGTTCGATTTATATATATATATATATTTATGAATATAATAAATAATATTTTATATAAATATGTCAAACATATCCAAATATATTTAATAATTACAATAAGAATTATCGTAAATTTGTTTGAGAACGTTATTTTTAAAAAATTAAATTTGAATGATACAATGTAACATCTCTAATCATGAAAAAGCTCTATACTTTATAGAATGGAAAAATTCAATATTTGTGAAGGACTTGCCTTTAATCTATACAAAAGAGTTTTTCTCGATAATTTCACAATATAGTATGCATGTAAATCTAAATACACAAGAGAAAGCTTGTCACTAAAAATTGTTCAATAATTTTAAAAATTTTCCGTTCGTTACAATAAAAAATGTATGTATATATATATATATATATATATATATATATATACAATAAGAAAAAAACACTATATGAAAATATATTGTACAGCTCAAAGGATACAAAATAATAAGTAAAATAAGAATATAATAAATAAAAATGAAATAAGAATGTACCAGATGAAATCAACATATGTTAAATAAAATTCTAAAAAAAAGATTTAGAATTCTCTGTTCGAAAATCTTAAAAAATATAATCAATTGTTACACGTATATGTGTGCTCTTGCTACTTTTACATTGCTAACTAAATTGAATTACTTCTCACTTACTAAAATTCAATTTTATTAGAATAAAGAAAAAAAAAATTAAATAAAATAGAAATACTGTTAACTGATGTTGAAGCAGAAGAAGTAAAGTGATAACAATTTAACAAATTAACGAACTGGCATATTAATTATAACATAACTTTTTCGAATAATATTAACATCTATGTTAAAATTATATAAAATTTACATTTACTTTACTTATTTTAATTTAATATATTTAGATTTCATTTAATTGAATATACTTTTGAGTAAAAATGTTTCACTATGACTCTCATGACTAAAAACCTATTTAGTGATTATTTGCAAAATATGTTGAAGAATAAACCGAATAAACCGAATAAACCGAATAAACCGAATAAATTACTTTACGTGTTGTGCTATACCACTTTAGTTAAGAATTTTTTATAACAAATTTGTATCTTTAAAATGTATTTCTATTAATATAATAGTAATATAAATTCTAAATATAAATTCATTCCTAAAAGAAGATTCTACTTATAGTATTATTGAATCGTAAGAAAAATTAATTTGTGATAATTGGCATAGAGCGACGTTATTTTTAATAGTCATTAATGAATTACTCAGGGTTTCCATTACCTTTATCGTGTACAAAATATTTGTAAAGCTTAAGATTTGAGAAATTAATGTTGGACAGGAAGGTCGTTGTAGTAATAATGGAAAGATTTTGATGACTGCGGCACGTCGATTCTACTATAAAAAATGATAAAACTATACGAATTATAAGTTTCGTATTATAATATTTATTTTAAAACTACACCGTCAAACTACAAAATCCTTTCAATTTATCTGATCTGTGTATCATTACGTATTCATAAAGTATATAATAATGCCATTATATACTTTATGAAATGCAATTGAAAACATATGTTATTTTGCTTTATACAATAATATTCATCGATTAATTTTTTTAAGTAAAACTCCCTGCGGATATTATACTTTACATAGAGCGTTACTCTACATAAATTCGGTATCGATTTTGCGAGCTCGTGCAGTTCGTTGGCGCTTAGTGAATTTTCATACATCCATACAAATATTCGTAGATGGATTTAGATGTAACTAGAAAAAAATTATTAATACTATACGAGGTGTTTTTTTTATTTTATTTTTTTTCCATTTAAAAATAGATCCCAATGTTAAAAAAATATCCGCTATAATAATTAAGGTTAAAAGGATTTAATTTGTACGAAATGCTAACATACTTTTTCTCTCCGCAAATTTCTATTTAAAACAGAAATGATTCATATTACTGAATTAATTTCTTCGGCTGTAATGATTTTTCTATATGCGTAGGTCGCGAACCCATTACAAACATTAATATTCGTATAAAAAAAATATATATATATATATATATATATATATATATATATATATTTATATGTAAAGGGAGAGAAAAATATCGTATTCAGCGTAGATAGCGGGTTTGACATTATTTAAATGTAAAAATTTGCTGAAACTCCTACGCAATCGTAGTGTATGTGGACTTTGTATCAAAGCAGTTCACCTAGCGATTTTAAAACTATTAAATGTCTAACTCGAAAGAAATATTGTACGATCGCCTAAGAATTTTCTACTTGCCGTCTTATATCTTATTTAAAAGTATACAAATTATTATGAACATTGATTATTAGTTGTTTAAAAGTTTTTAATGATGTATACACTTATCTTATTTAAAAATAAATCTTGCTCTATGCACAATACTTCCTAAAACTCGCTATTATAATAGTTGAGAATAAGTTTCCCCGGAAGACTGCTTATTGAAGAATAATTTTTTATACATAAATAAATAAGCGCATTATTAGAGGCATTCTAACCTAACTAATTATAATTAAATCCATTTGAACGTCAATCTTATGAATTTAATATTAAAAATACATAATATAAAAGTAATGTAATCCACAAAATTGATATCGCAACGAGCGTTACTGATAAAAAGATTCTCAAATAAATTAAAATACTTTATAAGTATTTGCGCAAAGTAGGTGGAAACCTTTTCGGTAATCAACTTTGGAAATTAAATTTTCCAAAGGCATAGAGTGTTTCTTGATTATTAAGACGAATAGATCAAAAGTTCGCATTAGAAAAAATGCCAAACTATTTTATGAAAATTTTATGGGAAAATTTTTTTCTCAATTTAAAATGGGATAGACTCCTTCTTTCGAGAGACTCATAATCGTAAATATCTACGTCGAAAGCTGACATATTAGCTTTTCTTTTGCACGAACGCCTCCACACTGCGCATTATCGGAATTGGACCTACATTCTAGAAAAATGAACGCCAACGTTTAAAAAGCATTGGGCGAAAAAGTTGCGGGTAAACCGATCGCGCAAACGTTATTTTCAAGTACCGAGGGCCACGAGATCGAGTTTTGGCCACGGAAGGGTTTTTGCCACGACTGCGCATTACCGGCCCTGTGAAATAAAATTTCTCCGACTCGACTCACATAAAATATTCGAACAGCTTTGACGGGGGCAAAGAACAAATGCTTCTCCCTCAAACGAAGATTATACGGTTTCTGCAATTGCATAAGTAGAGTTTCGAGTCCTTTGGATGACGGGTTGGCTCGCATCGAGTTCCGTTGCTCTAAAAGCGAATAACTAAAACTCAATCCCGAGAAGGAAGGAAGAACTTGGAGCGGCTCTAAAAACGAATATTCCCAATAAAAAGAAGGCTTGCACTTCGTAAAAGTAAGTGAAATGACTCGTAAACGTAAAGTATGTCTCGTTCTCGCCATCCATCCATCCATCCATCCATCCATCCATCCATCCATCCATCCATCCATCCATCCATCCATTCATCCAACCATCCAAGAGCTTCGTCTGAGCGAAACGACAAATAGATAGACAAGCGTATGTCACCTTGACGGGCTTGACGCGGCCCGTGGAGTCTGGAGGCGGCAGGGGAGGCCACCAACTCGCGGGCACCGTGATCTGGGCGAGGCAAACTCCGTCTTGGCCGTCGGGGCTGCAGGTCGCGGTGAGGGGACCCCCGGCGAGGCCGTCGCCGTCGGCGTCGCCCGGTCGACTCTGTGCGCTCGGGCTCGCGTGCAGGAGGACGCAGACGCGTTGATGACGACCCAGGAGCAGCTGGCGTCGACCTGTGGCCTCGTTGCCAGCGTGAAAGAGGACCCGCAAAACCGGCGAGTCCCTGGGTATGCTCGTGCTTACCTGGAACAAAGGCAGGGGGAGGGGATTAATAAATATTTAGTAGAAGCAGACGATGATGAAAAGTCGGTATTTCTTGTTTATTGGCGTGACGTTGAGATCGACGTAGAGAATGAAATAAAATAATAATGCAACGTGCGTAACGAATTCGTGCTCAACCCATTAATGTCTGGATAATAATTGGAACCTTTTGATCTTATTTTTCTGTCGTGCGCACGCAGCTTCGAAAGGTTATTAAAGTTATTCTTGCGCTTAAAGTGGGTCGATGCTGAAATAAAACCCACAAAGTGATGTGTGTTGCGTGTAAGACATTCGTTAAAGAGACCAAATGTTCGTATTTTATGAAAACTGTTTCGAGATTCGCGTCGATAGGTCAGGAAAGAAATGTGTATTGGAAAAAGATGCTCGAAGATGGGATTACGATCCAAGGATGTACATATTATGGTGAGATGATGTTTGTGTTTCTTGTATCTCAGTGGAACGACTATTGGTAAAGAGCAGGTGCGCTGTTATATCGTACCCACGAAACTCTGAATTGTTAATTGGATATTCGGAAGATCGTATGAGATTTGAAAGTAAATATTTAGAGCGAAATTTTACGCTTACAAATATACAAATTAGAAAGTTGCTTCAATGTTGGTTAAATAAAAAGAAAAAAAAAAAAATTAAAAAAAAAAATACAAGTAACACTAACATAAAAATCTGTATTTACACTAAATATTAGAATATTTTTTATTGATTGTTAAGACAGAAATTTCATTTTATATGATACCCATGCTGAATAGTAATTTAATTTATGCAAAGTTAGCTAACGTCGATATTTATATCGAGATAAATTCTAATTGGTCGAATAATATTATAGGTAATTATAGCATGGAAATTGAATGAAACTTTATATCTTTATTACAATCGTTGTAAATTAATTAGACATCTTATTGTATAATTGAAAAAAATATATATATATATATAATTAATACGGTCATATATGTTAAAAGCAGAAGAATGAAAAAAGTTGCAAATGTACAAACTAATGATTAGTATAATTTCGTTTGATTCTTATGTCGGTTATAAATAGTTACATCGGATGATAATTTAGAATAAATTTATTTTTTAACGAGTGCTTTTATCATTGTTTAGTAGAGCATGAAAATTCCAAGTTGACAGGATTCCTATATTTATTGCAGTTAAAGCTAAAATGTTCAACCGTTATTAAATGAAATTCTTCATACACTAACAATAATATTCTTATCTTTATAACTACAGTGCTAAAATCCAGACCATTTTTGTTATATATCGAGGGAATGCATTAAATTTATTATAAAATAAATTATCGCGAAACAATGCAGATGGGCATACTCAACAATGACACAGCTATTTAATTCGTGTACGTAAGAACCCTCCCTCTCACCCTGCAACCCTAAATATGCCAGTGCATTTTAAATATTTCCAAATAAAAAACATTATTATTATGATAAAAAAAAAAAAAAAAAAAAAAAAAAAAAAATTAATAACATTACGTAAGTTTTTATACATTTTTTTTAGAAATTTAATCTTATTGAAAGCTAAATTTTTATGTTTTCTCTATGAATAGTAGCAGCTGTATGTAACGTATAGCATCATTTACCCAATAAAACAAATAAATTCCTGATAAACTTTACAAATTTCCGTTAGCATAAAAGGTGATATTAAAAAAAAAAAAAAAAAGAATTTTAATTTTCTAAATATAAATATGTAGTATTAAAAAGTTATAAATCATTTTTTATTGGATAAGATAAATCTGCGATATTTTATCTTAACGTTTCCAAAAAAAAAAAAAAAAAAAAAAAACATCGCTACACCCTTAGTAATAAATTACTTTTCTTTGTCATTATTAGCATTAGTATTGGTAATAAAAATCTTTGAAGAAATATGGATTTGCTTTAATTCTGTTTCAAGTTAGACTTACAATTTAATTTTAATATATTCCTATATCAATTTAATAAATACAGATTCAGCAAATATTTTTTTTTAAATTAAATATCCGAAACACTAATAATGCAAACGTTATTCATAATAGATAATTTATTCTTTATCTTTATAAATAATTCATATTAAAGATAATTTCATTTTAAATTTTTTTTTATTTCATTTCCAAATTCTAGCAAATTACTTTACTCATTATCAGTGATTTATAATTAATCAATACACTAGTTTGACAGATAAACAATTTTAAATCCTTATATATATATATATATATATATAAAGTCGAATGTAATAAAATGTATAATTTTAAAATTATTAGAGAATAATTAATTTCCATCTGTATATATCGATATAATTTATATATATATTTTTACTAGACCATCTATTCACGGAAACTAGAATATGTTTATTCAATTTTATGGTACAGCAGTAAAAGCACATTTAATTTATTTAAAACTGAAAATTTTAAATTTATACTTGATTCGAGCATTAAAAGAAATTGTGATCGTTTATTCAATTAATTTTTTAAATACATTTATTCTGTAGTAATTTTACAAATACTATCTTAAGAAAAAATTATATATACTTATATTTATATATAAATTTCTTAAATTAACATATGTATGTATGTTTTTGTATATATATATATATATATATATATATGTATATATATGTTTTTTTATTCAAAGAAGGAATATTAATTGTCAGAAAAATTCTGATTGAAATAAAATTGTTATTTACTGTTGTAACTATATTTTTCATACACGATTAATAGTTATAATAATGTTAAGTAATTTAATTGAAAATGTTGAAAGTATTATAAATTTATATAATATCTAATATATGTAAATATAACAAATATGTAATAAATAATTGACATCATATGAACGATTATAAAAAATATAAATAAATTTATTAATCTGAAACACAAAGTTTAATTGTAAATAATTATTTGAAAAATTTATATAATCATTATATAATGATAATATTAAATATTTGTAGTTGATGTATCTTATATTTCTGAATTATCAATTTTTAACTTTAATTTAAACAATATTTAAAAATATTAAGTTTAACAAAATTTTGTAAATAAAATGTACATTTTATTTATAGTACTTTCCATAATTCTTAAAAAAAAAAATATATATATATATATATATGTATATGTATTTGAGTTAGAAGATAAAAATTTTTCACTTTATTTATCGGACAAACGATAAAAAGATGCATTTTTAATATTTTATATCGTATATTTTGGATAATATCAATAGTAGGAATTATATAGTTTCGTAATTTGAAGTATTTTATAATTTGAAAATTAATACGAGCATAATGGGCAGTAAGAAATTCATTTCGATAAGAAATATTTCATTTCTGTAATGGTATTCGAAAGTACTTGAATAACTCAATTTCAAATTACTAAATGCATTTGGCAATTATTTACAATTTTACATTATAAATATAGTGAAAATGTTAATATGGTAACTCAAAAGTCTAATACTAATATAAATGAAAAAAATAAATGCCTATTAATTAAAATGTGATTAATTAAGATGTCTTAATATAGACAAAGAAAAGCAAATTTGTATAATATCTAAGGGTACGTTGAACTGTTCGCAACATTTTGCATCAACTTTCATAACCTTAACAATGTTTTCTTCCTTTTTTTTTTTACCAAATAACGGGCTCGAATATAGAACAGCAAAATTCAGAAGAAAGTCAGGCGCAATTTGTACTATATCTTAGCAAACTTTTTTAATAGACATATTGCAGTTTGATATTTTAGTAGTAAAAGCAGTTTTGTGTCAGACGTAAACTATGATTAATTAATTAATTTTTATTTTATTAAATACTTCTAACGTCGATCAGTTATGATTCTTTTTTAATCTAGTTCTTAATTTTATAAGGGAGTTCAAATTTATTAATTTTACAGTTGATATACACGTGTGAAAAATAAAAATCACTTGTATTAAAATTAAATTATTTTACTAGATATTGTTGTTATGTATATTCAATAAATTATTAATAATTAATTTTTCAATTTGGTAATGTAGCAAAATTTCCTTTATAAATCTAATAATGTTTTATTATGTATTATTTATGCAAAGAAGTTTTTTGCTCAGTTTAAAAAATATATACCGGAAAATAGGACTTTGCTAGTCAGTGAGATATATTTTAAAACAATAATCAACCTCTTTCTTATAATCATAGAGAGGAAATTATCTACTTTCCTTAAATAAATTGTTTAATTTAGTTGATTTGATTTTTTTTTTTTTTTTTTTTTTTTTTTTTTTTTTTTGTAAATACAGTTTTTAGATAAGAGATGCATAAAGCAGAACCTAATAAAGAACCGACAACTTTAAAGTTCTTATTCTTGAAATTGAATGTTATGATTATTTTTATCTATCAGTCGTATGAACGCAAAAACTAATTATGATCGACCAATGTAATTAATTAATTAATAGAATGCTTTTGAATTTTTTACTTTAAATAAAAATAATGGACTTCGACGTTTCTGTCAATTAGAATAGTGGCAAAAGTTAATTTCAAGAAAGTTCATTTAGTTTTCAGTTATTATAGACTCTTTATTCTTCTCTTTTCTTATTACTTAATACTTCAAATTGCATTTAGACATATAATCATGAATATTATCATTACTGTTTACTGAGAAAAAAATAAATGTTTTTTACATACTAAATTATACGTTTCTCATGAACGACGAATAACAAGTAATAAAAATTATGCAAATTGAACATTTAGTTGAGCCATAGTTAAATATGTTTTCAAATTCGAATTTGAATAATGCATAACGAATTAAAAGATTATAACAAAATTAATTGATAATATCTTTATGCTTTTGTAAAATCGTTATAAAAATCTGTCATCAATTATTTTACACCTAATGAGCGCGATGAAACAAAATATAAACAATTTTAATTGATGCTATTTTAATTATAAAAATATTAAAATTTGCCTTAAAATGAAATTTCATTTTGTAATTTTAATTGTTAATCATAATTTTTATGCATTCCCTTGCACTTTTATTAATTGTTCAAATCAAACTACTAATTGTGCAAAAATCAAAATGCCGAAAAAAAAGACAAATTTATATTACAACTTTTGATACAGAAGAAAAGGAGAAAAATATTATTAAATTTCATGAAATATATCAAATTAACCGTGCATTTAATTATTCAGAACAGACTTTGATTAAAAAAAAAAAAAAAAAAAAAGAAAAAAAGAAAAAATGTTGATACTTCGTTGAGCTTTCATAATATGTTTAAATAATCTATCTGCTTGGAATTACATCACAGTTGACGCAATTCTCAGTTAGATTAAATTGTAATTAAATTTAAAAGCTTTACGAAAATTATTACTTTGGATACAAGAATTAAAAAATTAATAGTTCTAGCAAATAGAACAAAACGATTTTAAAAAGGATAAATGTTAACTTTCGCTCAAACGAGTGGCACGATATTATGTGTCATAAAAAAAAATGTGGGTCGATATGAAATGTTTACTAGGCAAATGGAACGTAGATTTAAGGAAATAAAAGAACTTACCTAAGAGACAGACTAGAGTTTACCGAGAATTGACGTATATTATAAAATATTTTGGAAAGCAAATGATAGGATTGATAGTAGTGAGTAGTATAGGTGAATACTCACCAGGTGAGCGGACATATCCAAGTGTCGAGCGCCGAGCTCTTGGAGTTCCAAAAGCGTAGACCCGATGAAACTGCTGCCGTTATTCTTTCTGGGGTCGATGTTCGGCACCGGCATTACGTCCAGAGGATCCGGCACTATGTAGCGCGCAGGCACCGTCTGCTTGGTGCTGAAGGGCCCGTAGGTTGCGCGCACCGACACGGGTTCGCTCGTCTGGAAGACGGTGAATTTGTCGATCGAGAGTATCGACGATCCCTGCTGCTGTTGCTGCTGTTGCTGCTGTTGCTGCTGTTGCTGCTGTTGCTGCTGCTTCTGCTGCTGCTGCTGCTGCTGCTGCTGCTGCTGCTGCCTCTGTTGTTGTTGCTGCTGTGTCGACGATGGAGTGGACGATGCGCTCGTCGAGCCGGACGTTGAGGAACCACTCGACATCAGGCTCAGATCCGGGCGCAGATTCGTCGGGTAAAATTGCCGTGGACTATGCTTCAAAAAGAATCCCCCGTCCTTATTTTCAAAGTGCACCTCCACCGATACTACGACATCTGAAAGTGCGATAAATATCCGTGTTATAAGTCTACATACTTATTTGCATTTTCAATTGCTCAATTATATAGAGAGAGATTTATTTAGTTCAATCTCGTTAAATCCACTAATACTCGGCGCGTTACCTTAATATTCATCATTGTTTTATAATTGAAGTTGTTATAGCCAGTATATTATGCCATATCAAGCAGTTTATTGTACTTTAACATGAAAATTCCATGCTATTCGTTGGACAGTTGAGGGCCATAATGGAAAGAATTACTTGTAGTATTTACCGTACAGCAAACGTTGATTATTAAAAAAAAAAAAAGAAGAAAACAACGGAGCGAATGGTTATGAATTTATTTGTGATTTTGGTATAATGTGAAACGACAGTTTTTAAATACTTTTATCCACTAGGATATTATTATAATCCATATCGTTTGCTAAGAATTTGCTTTTTTATTTTATTTGAGTATGGAGATAATAAAATGAGAACATTTAGAAAATCAAGCCTGCATTTGCTTTATGTTCGTTTAGTCAAAATAGTCTCGACATAACCGTTAATACTCCCTTTTCCATATTTCCTCTATTTGTTTAGAATTTTATTGAGCTTTTCAAAGTTTATACGTTATATTTCCCCGTTACCTTATTAATTATACAGATAAATTATATATATATATATATATATATATATATATACATACGTAATAGCAACAGTTTAACAAGAACCTTAAAAAATTGCTTAGGTTAATATTACAACCCTTTTCTTCTTTACACTATTCCGTTCATTCTGTCTAGGGAGTCAAATTTAAGGGTTAGAAATAATTCATAAACTCATTAATAAAGTAATATAGGACTTATTGTTCTTTTTATTTGGCCACATCCCATTTGTGCCAATAATGTTTTATAAATTTCATATTTAATGCCCATATTTCTCATTTTCACCATACTTTTTAATAAGCCATTTTTCACTTATATTATTACTCAGTTTAATTTTCTGCCTCCATCCTTGGCTCGATGCCGTCCTCCAACTTTACAATTACTTATGTTTGGACCTTTACTCTTTCACAATTTATTTTCTTCGCTTTTTTTACTTCATCTTGCAGATTATATTTTTGATATCCAGCGCCGTTCATCTTCCTAATTTTCTTTAAGTAGTAGTCTCGTTATAATCTATCTATTCCGTCGCTTATTTCTCTCCTCTCCCACTTAAAGTATTCTCGGATTATATTCAAGAATCTATTTTTTAATGGGCATAATTCATTTTTTATCACGGTACTGTACCATCTCAGGTGTCACTAATCTTAACTACCCTTGCCATTGCAGGGAATTTTATTCTAAAAATGTACTTGCATTCGGAAGTTCCTCTTCCCATTGTTTTAACTGCGCTCGTGAAAATGTTGCTTCTTCTACTTAATTTCTTCATCGCTTTCACTCATTTTCCCTCCGACAGTCTTTCTAATTAATGCTTTGTTATTATTATTTTTTTTTTTTTTTTTTTTACCACAACCACACAGCTGTAGCTTTAAATCGTATACTTTTATTAATTTCTTTATCCCCTTTACCGTACACCTACATCTTATTCGTAATTTTATATGCGCAATTAATCCCAACGATCTTTTAATATTTCTCTAGCGCTTGTTTTAGTATTTAATTACAAATTAATATTAACACGATTGTTATTTTATTTTACTTATCGACCTTCTCTCTTTCTTGTACTATATTTTCACAAAAATTCTTAACAAAAAAATCTTCATTTTAAACCGTTTCCTCGTCATTCTTCCTTTGGCTTTGTACTCCGTCGCTTATTTCGTCCAAATTCTAACGTCTCTTTTATTTTTCCCGGAATTCGATAGTCCCAAGAATTTACTCGGCCTTTATTGCTTTCTGTATCAGCATAACTTTTACATAAATGGACTAGCTAATACTCTATCTTCCTATTTCACATTGGCTGGCATTCGGTCTTCGAATTTATTTAAATAAAACATTCACTTCGATTATATGCAAACTCGACAGTATACTAACGATGTGAAATAATATTTTTATAATAATGTCGCTACTCAATTAATCGGATGAAATAATTTTTAGAAATTCGATAATTCATTGAGACGAACATTGATACAGAACTACAATAAATTTACATACATATAAATTATAATAAATATGAATAATAATAACAATATTATTATAAAATTAATTTTAAAAAAAACTTTAATGATTTTTATGATTTTTTTTTTCTTTTCATTTTATTAAAGTACTCTAAATATTAACTAAGATTAAACAAATATTTCTTCCTGAACAGCTCGTTTTATACGCTGATTATTATACTATTTATTATTCAATGATATTTGATAGATAGAAAATGATCAGAATATAGGATTGATGTATAGAAGAAACTTTCATACTTCATATTCAACTCTGAAATTTAAAATGATTTTAGAATAAATACGACACGAATTTAATAATATATTCCATATCTTGTGACATATTTAAAAATGAAAAAATATATTGAAAAGTTTTAGTTACGAGTAATTGAACTTTTAGTATTATTTTTATAATTTTTCAACATCAACCACAATTGAATCAATACAAAATATTCATTAAAATTGTCATTTATAAAAAATGACTTACAATCACTATTCACAATTATCAATAATTATTAAAATTATAATATGAATTATATTAATTTATACCAATAATTATCAAAACATGTATTTTACAACGTTTCGTAATATATCAACATGTCCATTCATATGGAATATTAATTCTCGATATAGAATGTCAAACGTATAGAATATGCTTTACTTGCTTTATCTACTTTACTCTATTTACACGAAATGACCTATTTTTAATAACTTATAAAGTGAATCCCTACACATACGGAATCATTATTATTATTATTATTATTTTTTTTTTATATTAATTTACGCCATTAATATAAAGAAATTTGTAGTGGCGCTTCTTTTATTTAGAATACTTTTCGAAAAAATACACGACATTCTCTAATTAACATAATTATTCACTTTCGCATCACATATTTTGACTAATTTGATTAAAAATTAGGTAATATTAACTCGTGATAAAAAAAAAAAATCTATAATAAAATCAATTTTCTATATGTCTATATATATATATATATATATATTGTGTAATATATGCAATATTGTAATGTAATATTGTGCAATATATATAATATATATATATATATATATATATATATATATATTGTATATATAAATATATATAATGTATTAATTACCGAGAGCATATTTTAATAGATAACATTTTGTTTAATTATCATTATTATAATTAAACAGTAAATTACGTTCGTTCGTAACTTATTTGTGAGATGGGAAATGAAAAAAAAAAAAAATTCTTGTTAAAAACACAATGAACGATTTATCGAAAACTTGGGAATATCTCCGGAGAAGAAAGATCTTTCGCTAAATGCATCAATCTTCTTGGAACTGCAGGAAAAAGAAAATCGTTATGCCTGGATAGGATTTTAGCTTAAATCAGAGCGTTCGTTTACTCGACAGTAAAAAGACTCCTCAGACTAACGACAAGACAGACTTCCGAACTAACCTCTTTAATTTCGACAGGAATTCCTCGATATAAAATAAAAATTAGACACTCGACAAATTACATCAACATTTTCAAATTAAAAATCTTAGTCAATTAAAATACCATTAATTAACAATGCAATTTATATAATAAATTGTTCTTTTTTATTCTGTACAAGTCTTAATAAATGTTTAAGTAATGCTTCCGTGATTAAAATAAATAGACGTTCGATCTTTGTATCGCGCATGCTTCTATACAGTTTCGTACAAAATACAAATTTGTAATAATGAAGCGAATAACGAAGATCTTCGCTCCACCTCGTTTTCTCTTGGCGCCTGCTCGTCGTACAAAAGAAATATCCACGCAAATTAATTATGAAAATCAATCGATCATCGAAATTGAAAAGCATCTTTAATTTCCACCTTCCCGCCCGAATAGTACAATCTCTGCTGGAAACAATTTTCCAACAAGAACAAAGTAGTCATCTCGTGTTATAGCATCTTTCTTTCGTTGTCGTATTGATAAGGAGCGCTCAAGCGTCTGAACATTTCAGTAGCGACGGTATCGGAAAAGCCACCGGTCTTTTTTCACGGCAATTCATGTTATTAATGAACAGAGACAAGCATCGTTCGCTCTTACAACCGATTGAGACGCACTTCCGGCATGTGCGCGCATATGGCTACGAGTGCACATTGCTAATTATAATGCACGGCGTGGTGAGGGGGTGGGAGGAAGGGGATTGTGGGCCCCCCCCCGGGGGGGGGGGGTTGTGGAATCCAATGACGCAGCGGGAGGTGAATTGAAACGGCCATCGTTCCAAGCGAACACATTAGCTCAGTTAGATCAATTTTCAAGGAATGATATCTTACGGCAAGCAAGACACTCGTCTTCTGTAGTTTTATTGTAGCTGAAGCGTATAAGAGACATTCAACATTATTTGATCTTAATCGTTTCCTTCTTTTCCCTTTTTTTCTTTGTTTGCTTTGTTTTTTGTTTTTTTTTGTTTTTTTTTTTTGTTTTTTTGTTTTTTTTTTGTAATTCTTTACTATATCGATATCAAGAAAATTTTAAATCCTGTACGATCATGTAAAATTAATTAAAAAGTGGTTTTGAACTTTTTTCTTTTTCCACGTGCCTCTCTTAAATCATATCCGATTTAGCAATGAACGACGCCATGATAAATTATATATCGTACGACTATCGCATGCAAATGATAAGAGTTCAGGTGCATCTTAAAACACTTAGACATTTAACGACGGTGAGTAAAAAACTATAGTAACGAATGATCGATTTGACATAGCGTAAAAAATATTTAATAAAGAATCTCGATGTAATCGAATGGATCGATGTAAGATTAACTAAAATTATCGTGGATCACTGTAGATGGACTTGATAAATGCATAAATTTTAGTGTAAATCTGATATTTGGAGTGGGTCAAAAGCACGAGCAACT